GAATAAAAAGGAAGGGCCGTTTCTAGAAAAAGGGGATACTACACAGGCTAAATAGTAGGCCTATATTGAGGGGCCCTAGAGACTGTCCATGCCTTTATTCTGCAGTTAAGAAATAGGGTTGGAGCCGGGCTTGGTGGCTCAGCCTGAATTCCAGTACTTTGGGAGGCTGAGGTGAGTGGATTGCCTGAGCCCGTGGGTTTGAGACCCACCTGGGCAACTTGGTGAGACCTCCTCTCTACAATAAATAAAAAATTAGCCAGGCGTGGTAGCCTGTAGTTCCAGCTACTCGGAAGGCTGAGGCAGAAGGATCGCCGGAGCCCAGCAGATGGAGGCTACAGTGGCCGGGAGCAGCCACTGCACTCCAGTCTGGGTGACAGAGTGAGACTCCAACTCAAAAAAAAAAAAAAAAGAAAAGAAATAGACCTGTAATTCCAGCACTTTGGGAGGCCAAGACAGGAGGATCACTTGAGCCCAGGAGTTTGAGACCAGCCTGGGCAACATAGCAAGACCTTGTTTCTACAAAAAAATTTAAAAATTAGCAGACTTGGTGGCATGCACCTGTAGTCCCTGCTACTTGAGGGGCTAAGGCGGAAGGATCGCCTGAGCCCAAGAGGGGCTGTGGTAAGCTGTGATTATGCCACTGCACTCCAGCCTGGTGACAGAGGGAGACCGCAACTCAAAAAAGAAAAAAGCAATAAACCTGAAAGAATTGCCCAACTTTCTTGCACTGCCCTCACCTTCCCCTGAGGTAGAAGGAGCTCGAACATGGTCTTCTGGCTCCTAATCCAGTGCTCTTTCCATTATACCAAGTCACAGTCCCCAGGTTCCAATTTCTTTTATGGTACATGGCTAAAATAAGTTTTAATAACAGGCTGTTGCTCTAGAACTCGATGTAACAGTTCTTTTAATTTCTCCATTTGACAGGTGATGAAAGTGGAGTTTAGAAAAATTAAATCACTCACACAAGGTCACAATGAGTGTCAAAGCTGAGCTTTGGGGCAGTCTATTTCCAGAAGCCATTTTCTTCCCCACTGTGCTATCTGCTGCCCAGCAGATATTTTCTCTGCCTCACATCTCCTTCTTCTTATTTTGTCTGTCCAGGTGCCAGTAAGAAGACGGGCACCAGGCTCATCACGTGGGCCTCCCACACATGGCAGTGGGTGACTGCCGTGTAGCTGGTTGCCTAGACACTAGGTTCCTTCATTATGGAGGAAGAGGGTGACATGCTGTGAGCTCCTCGGGAATGCCCTCTGCCCATGGGTAATTTGACTCTAGCAGCCCAGGAAGAGAGCCTTCCCAGATGCAAAACAAATGCAAATTAAAAATGAGATAATTATTTTTTTCCTCTCTTAAGACTGTCAAAAACTCGAAGTCTGATAATACTGAATGTTGAAATTTTGAGGGGTTGGGAGTTCTTACTGCTATCATTGCTGGCGTGAGCCATCTTGGAAGGCAATTAGACCACAGGTATTTAAACTGAGACCCGATCGTGGAGAAATAATTGTACATGCCCTCAAGGAGTCATATTCAAGAATGTTCATCACAACGTTGGGAAAGCAAAAAGTTGGAAACTACCCAAATGTAGACCAGTGGGGAAATGATTAAGTAAAATGAAGAATAGTGGCCGGGCATAGATGTCTCGTTTCTGTAACCCTAGCACTTTAGGAGGCCAAGGTAGGAGGGTTGCTTGAGGCCAGGAGTTTGAGACCAGCCTAGGCAACATAGCAGGATCTTGTCTTTACAAAAAATTAAAAAAAAAAAAATAAGTTAGCCAAGTGTGGTGGTGCACAACTGTAGTCCCAGCTACTTGGGAAGCTAAGGCAGGAGGATCACTTGAACTCAGGAGTTTGAGGCTGCAGTGATCGTGCCTCTGCACTCCAGCCTGGGTGATAGAGTGAGACCCTGATTCCAAAAAACAAAACCAAAAACAAAATGAGGAATAGTCATATGACCAATGGATAAAGCAATTGGGAAGGACAAACTGGATCTAACATATTTGATCAAATCTAAAATATAATTGATTCTCACTATTTGCAGTGATTATGTTCTATAAAATCACTGCAAACACTGAATTAGTAAATACTGAACCATTGCTTCCAGGGCTGGCTCCCTGCAATCCTCTGGTCGCCACATTTTTGTCAATTGATCAAGACATACCTTGTTTTTTGTGTATTTCCGCTTAGAAACATCTTATTTGCTATATACTGGGATTCATTAATCTTGAACTCACGGCCAACAGCAGCATGACTTGTGCCTGAGTGAAGCTTAACTAAGAAACATACTTCCCCTGTGAGGCATGTCATAGCACTCCAGCATTTAGGAACCCTAGACAGCACGTCACCACTGAAACCAGCAAAATCACTGACAAAAATGCAAAAAACATGGCACTGAGGCTGTGAAAAGGACCCTTGTTTATAGCATGAGAGCTGAAACCAGAAGGCAGAGTGTCGCCTTGTTCAGCCTCAGCTGGGAACACCTGCATCGGGCAACACAGTTTTGACACTCTGGGCACATCCACGAGTGACTGTGAAAGTGCTGTCTTGATTTGGGCTTACAAATACATTTTAGTGAGTAGACAAATTCACAAATATGGAATCATTGAAGAATGAGGATCAACCGCACATTTTCACATTTTAACAACTCCAAAAATCGAGGTGTATTTTAGATCATGAAATACAGGACATGTGTCAAAATGGAGAGCATCTGTAACTAATGTTGAGTGAATACCAAGTTGAGGATCAGTATGTATATAGAATGTACTTACGAATGTAAAATAAAACCAAACGCCAGCACACTTTTCCATTGCTATGAAATGGTTAGCAGTTCTCTCGAGCATGGGCCCTTTCTTTCAGCATTTTAACATCTTGAGTAGAATTTCACCCTTACAAGGCCCTTCTGAGGCAGGTGCTGTTTAGTCCCTTATCATATAAAGAAGTTAAGAAAATTGCCCAAGGTCACCAAAAAAAGATGTTTATTTCACTTTGAAATAAAAATAACCAATTGGGTTGAATCTCTGGGCTTTCCTAGTGTTATCTGTATCCTAACAGGAAGCAAAACACAGACAATCATCAACTCAGAACAATACATTTCAAATTGTATTGTTATGAAATAAAACAGTCTTACTCTCTTAGTTCATTTATTGACCACCCTATTTCTTTCTTTCTTTTTTTTTTTTGAGTTGGGGCTTCACTTGTTGCCCAGGCTGGAGTGCAGTGGCACCCTCATGGCCACCACAGCCTCGACCTGCTGGGCTTAGGCGAACCTTCCGCCTCAGCCTTCCAAGTACCTGGAAATACAGACATGTGCCACCACGCCCGGCTAGTGTTTTGTGATTTATTGTAAAGCTGAGGTCTCACCAACTTGCCCAGGCTGGTCTCAGACCCCCAGGCTCAGTCAATCTTCTTACCTTGGCCTCCAAAAGTGCTGGGATTACAGGCTGAGCCACCACACCTGGCTGCCCACCCTATTTCTTACTTCGCTGTAAAGAAACATATACTTAAGATGGGTTTTATCAACTGCTGAATCTTCGTAAGCACTGGATTAATGGAATTGTTCTTAGCTTTTGAGAGACCCTGTTATTTTAGCTTCATAAACATATATTTCTACATAGAGACATCTTTCTTATTTATGAGAACACTTACATAAGGTGTTCTGTTTATATCGATGCTTATTAATTTTAAATATAGTCAAGTTGTATTGTATTGAGTAAAGTCACAAGTTACGATGTAAAAAAAATGAGAATTTTTATGAGCCACAGACAGACTTATGCAAGAAGCAATGTATCAGAAAGCTGAGATACTTTGGAAACTAAATGCAGAGATACTTTAACTAGAGACATAACAATTATAAAAACATTAAACATATGAACACATTTTTACTCCAGAATTTCTTGTATACTTTTGCATGTTAGAAAATTATGTTACTCTTGAGACTTGTGATGTTAGAAACTGCTGGGTCTTAAACACATTTTGTTTATCTAACAGCTGTTCCTTCAACCCCACTGCTGCTTGCTAAAAATCAGCACCTTAGCCGAAGTCCCTTCTGACGTCAGCAAACTTTTCTGATCTCCGCGCCCATCACATGAGTATTATTAAGTCGAACTGGAAATTTCTTTTTTTTTGAATCAGAAACTCACTCTGTGGCCCAGGCTGGAGTGCAGTGTCACCATCTCAGTCCACCGCAGCCTTGAACTCATGGGCTTAGGCAATCCTTCTGCCTCAACCTCCTGAATAGCTGGGACTACAGATGTACACCACCAAACTCAGTTAATTTTTGAAAATTTTTTGGTAGAGACAAGATCTCGCTATGTTGGGCAGGCTGGTCTCAAACTCCTGGTCTTAAGTGATCCTTCCGCCTCAGCTCCCAATGTGCTGGGATTACAAATGTGAGTCACAGCCGGGCTCGGTGGCTCAGCCTGTAATCCCGTGCCTTTGGGAGGCTGAGGTGAGTGGATTGCCTGAGCCTGCGGGTTCGAGACCCGTCTGGGCAGCAAGACCTCATCTCTACAATAAATCAAAAAATCAGCCGGGCGTGGTAGCGCATGCCTGTAATTCCGGCTACTGGGAGAGCTGAGGCGGAAGGATCACCGGAGCCCGGCAGGTTGAGGCTGCGGTGACCGGGAGCAGCCACTGCACTCCAGTCTGGGCGACAGAGTGAGACTCCAACTCAAAAAAAAAACCAAATGTGAGTCACTGTGCCCGGCCATTTCTGTTTTTGTAGGTCAAAAATAATCAGGTGTCAGCAATTTCATATAGTTCAGCCTAACCCCATTTCTCTTTGGCCTTACATGGCCCTTTATCTCTATGCTGCCAATGGCTTTTGTCTGGACCTGTCTTGTCTGTCTAAGACTGTGAACTTCCTCAAGGGTGGGAATGCAGCTTGTTTCTCTTTGGGTCCTGCCTTCTCCTTCACAGAGTAGGCTGTGAATAAATGTTTGCAGGGTGGAATGAAGTTCAAGAAGGCATCATGGTTCACCCACCTTCCTGTGTCTTTCCTTCCAGCGGCCCACATGTGCAGCGTCCTGGAGCACAACTGTGCCCACTTCTGCATCAACACGCCTGGCTCGTACATCTGCAGGTGCAAACAAGGGTACATTCTCAACTCGGATCAGACGACTTGCAGAAGTAAGATTTCTTTGCGGATGTATTTGTACCTTCCTCCTCTTCTCTTCCCTTTTCTTTTCTCTGGGCTCATCTTATTCATCTGTGGTCTCTCACTCAACCCAGTTATTGTCTCCCCGAGGAGAGAAACAAAGTTGAATATTTTTTCTTGACCCCCATCTCCCAGTCTATACAGCTGGACACACAGTAGGCCATCAGGAAGAATTTGAAAAATCAGCAAAGGCACCTTCTGAGAAATGGCCTCCTTTGGTTGAGCTCAGTGGCTCACTCCTGTAATCCCACTTTGGAAGGCTGAGGTAAAGATTACTGGAGCCCAGGAGTTTGAGGCCAGACTGGGCAATATAACAAGTTCCTACCTCCAAAAAAAAAAAAAAGAGGAAGAATTAACCTTTTTGAATGCATGAACTAGCCTCCTTTACTTCCAAGCTTGTTCTCTCTCTTTTTTTTCTAGTTGGAGTCTCCACTCTGTTGCCTAGGCTGGAGTGTGGTGACGTGATCACAGCCACCACAGCCTCGACCCACTGTGCTCAGGTGATCGTTCTGCCTCAGTCTTCCAGATAGCTGGAACTATAGGCACGCCCCACCATGCCCAGCTAGTTTTTTGATCGATTGTAGCGATGAGGCCTTGCCAAGTTGCCCAGGCTGGTCTTGAACCCCTGGGCTCAGGCAATCCTCTTGCCTTCGCCTCCCAAAGTGCTGAGATTACAGGCGTGAGCCACCATGACCAGCCCCCAAAGCTTGTTCTTTAATGGGAACTACCCAGGAGCCTTTTCATCCACTGTCTTTACTAACCGTACCCTAAGGAATTGTTCCCATAGTTTATTCTCTTCTCTAAAGCATGGACGTTATTAACATCAGCTGGGAATAATCACTCAAGTTCTGTTTTAGAGGCATGCAGGGATCCAGTTGCCTTGGTGAGGGTCACTTTGTAGGTCTCCTAAATTTTAAAAAGAGGGTAAACAGATGTAAAGTGTTAACACTCACATTCTGTTGTTTGGCCAAGCCCCAAAGACTAGACAATAAATGGGTATCTGAGCCAGCGTGAGGTAATCTGTCCCTTAAAGGACAGAATTACCCATCCACTTTGGGTATTGAACTCCTCTTTTTAAAAAGTTGTGAGTAAAGCCGCTGTGTGAACCCACAGTTGCCCAGGATACCAAAGCCAGGCCTGGAAGAGCGGCCCACGTGGAGGCAAATAAAACTCAGCTAGTCTGACGCGTAGTTCATGCAATGCATAATCATTATTATACCACATGGCAAGCGATTAAGCATGAATGGAAGGCAGTTTGCACAAATGGCTGTAATTAGTATCGCATTTATAGAGCCAAACCACATTTTCCATTTTTCTTCTCGCTTTCCAGTTTCAGGGCTGAGTGGCTGGTGAGAGGCCACCCTGCCCCCCAAGATGAGGTAACATCCGCTTGACCCCCTCCAGTTCTATGGCCTGAGAAACCCAAAGCCCCTCTAAATTGTGTGAACTGGGGGGGGGCCGGGGGGGATGGGGCTCTATGTACCTAGCCTCCTCTCAGACCCCAAATCCTGGGCTGTTGAGTACAGCTGGGGTTTTTTTTTGAGTCAGAGACTCACTCTGTAGCCCAGGCTGGAGTGCAATGTCACCATCTCAGCCCACCTCAGCCTTGAACTCATGGGCTAAGGCAATCCTTCTGCCTCAACTTCCCGAAGAGCTGGGACTATAGGTGTGCACCACCTCATTTTCCACCTCAAGATCTGATCCTTTTTCAGTTTCCATAACAAAAATCACTCTTACTGAATGCTCGTAGGTTTCACAGAATTTTCTGAAGAACTGAGAGAGCCTGGGAAAGATCATTTCACACCCTGCTCAGCAAACGACCTAGACATCTCACTCACTCATGCATCCATTTATCTTGAGTCAGGGTCTCCCTCTGTTGCCCCAGCTGGAGTGCAGTAGCATAATCACAGTTCACGGCTCATGACCTCCTGGGCTCAAGCGATCCTCCCGCCTCAGCCTCCAGAAGTGTTGGGATTATAGGTGTGAGCCACCTCTCCCCGCCCTAGACCCTAGACGTTTCTTTTAGACATCCCCCACTCCCTTCAGACGTTCTCCCTCCCTCATCCCATCCCCTGAGGAGCCCCCTGCCCCCATCCTCTTCAGGCATTCCCTCCCCATCCCACCCCCTTCAGGTGCCCACCCTCCGCAAGATGCTGCTCTGGCTCTTGTTGGCAAAGTACTCAGCCTGCCACCGTCTTGCTCACTCCCTTCCTGCCTTCCCTTCTTAGGAGCACAAAGAATTCCTCTGTGTCATGCCCCTGTGATCAACTGGGGTCTGGAAATCTGATGTTCGTTTTCTGTGGGCTGGCTTATCCAAGCCAGAGGAATTCTGACACTAGTGAATAAAAATTTAAAAGCTCCTCCCCTGACTTAACGAGCAAGGCCTTCCCCACACACCAGGGTTTGCCAGGCCTGGGCCTGTGCCCACCGTGGGCTCCGATGTCCCTGGGCTCTCCCAAGCACTGTTCTGGCCTTGACTCCCTCCTGCCTGGGCTGCAGCACAGGAGAGTGTGAAGCAGAAACTGACTGGGCTTTAGACAGGTGTACCAAATGGAGGGGTGGGGAGGCCCAGGCAGAAGAAGGACATGGGCCCAGGGCAGTGTTTCTCAAACTTTAGCAATGAAGAACCAGCCAGGAAGCTGACTCTGGCTCTGGGGCCTCACCCTCAGAGATTATCAATCAACAGGTCTGGATTTTCAATGAATTGACAGATTGCCGCCACACTTTGGGATTCAAGCAGTGAGGGGACACAGAGGAGAGCTTAGCAGAGCTCTGCTATCCCATCTGACCTGGCCCTCCATTCACCCTGACGCAGTTAGGCCGTCTGTACTTCCAGCGCCAGACTTAGTTTAATGGGAGTGATAAAGAGCAGCACTCTCTCTTTCAGAAGATAATATTGCTAACTCTTTTGCTTTACTGAAATCGATGTGCCAGTGTCCTCAGGGAAAGAACGGGTCTTTACAGTCCACAGATGTGAGTTCGAATCCTATTGTTATCATTTCCCAGCTATGGTTGTCTCACCCTGAGTTGGTAATTATTACTTTTTTGAGTTGGGATCTCACTCTGTTGCCTAGACTGGAGTACAGTGACACAATCACGGCTCACGGCAGCCTCGAACTCCTGGGCTCAGGTTATCCTCCTACCTCAGCCTCCTGAGTAGCTGGCATTACAGACATGAGCCACCATACTTGGCTAATTTTTAAATTTGTTGTAGAGGTGAGTTCTTGCTGTGTTGCCCAGGCTGGTCTCAAACTCCTGGGCTCAAGTGATCCTCCTGCCTCAGCCTCCCAAAGTGCTGGGATTACAGATGTCAGCCACTGCACCCAATCTCTGAGATGGTTTTCTAAACTCCTTGACTCTCTCACTTTCCTCACCCATAATGTGGGAGGGGTGGAATACATATCTCATTGATCGGTCCTTGTTAACCCCTGTTTTTGGTCTGGGGGACAGTTCAGATCTTTGTTAAGCAAAGGCTGTGCCATCCACTGACCTCGGAATAACAATCTTCAATAATTGAAGGGCTTTCTCTTTTTATTTGAATAAAGAAATGATGTTTTTGTATATGGCTTCAGATGGCAGAAACAGGATCAAAGGTGGAAATGCTCATTACAAACATGGACTGGTGCCTGCTAACATCGAGAGAAACTTGCAGTAGGCCTGGAAAGGAATGATACACTATTCCTCTTCTATTTCCATTTCTTCTCCTATCCTGGATGTAGCTGGATAATCTCCCAGATGAATAGGAATGCGGGTTACTCCTCCTTCCCAAGGCCCCTCTTATTCCCTAAGAAGTGTTTGCCATTCATTCTCCCATACATTCTGATTGGTTCATTTATTTTTTATCTACCACATGTTTCTGAGCAAGTAGGATGTACCAGGCAGCATGCAAAGTCCTGAAAACAAAATAGCGACTAAAACAGAAATGTTCCTTCTCTTTTGGAGTGCATATTTTTGCATGGGAGTGAGTCGAATAAACAGCCAGGGTAATTGCAAGCCAAAGTGACTGCAGCCCATGCCTGGTTCTGTGCACAGCATGTGAGGTCGGTCCTAACTATAGTCACTTTTTAAGGGTTTGCCATGTACCAGGAACTCTCCTGAATGTTTTTTATCAGTTAGCTCATTTAATTCTCACAATGAGCTGTTAGATTTTACCACTCTTATTTTATAGACAAGGAAAAGAAAGAACAAAAAGGTTGGATAATTTAGTCAGGGTCACATGGCTAGCAATGTGACCAAACCAGAATTCAAATCCTATTATGTCCTAGCTCTTTGCCACCATCGGATACTGTACCATGATCCTGGAGGGTCCCCAGATGGCAGCAGGGCAATCGGAGAACTTTCTTGAAACCCAGGAGGATAGACAGGTTCCATAGTCCGCAAATCCTGGGAAGACTCTGAACTAATTCACCAAGACTAACATTCAGCAGATCGTTATTTCCCCAATTCCACTGCCAACTGTTGTGCTGTCATTGCACAAAAGGATTGTGGAAAGGCCTCTTCAGCAATTGCTTTCAAATACACACATGCATATATACGCTATAATATACCATAGATATCTTCACCACTTTCTATTTGTGCTTCGTGTGGAGAGAGGAAACAGATACAGTTGATTCTTAGAGTCTTTGCATGGTCATGGACTTTGGTTATTAGACTTCTAGCTTCCTCTCCCACATAACCTCAGAATTCTGTCCCCTCCCAGAGTCCCAGATGGGTGAAGGTTCTTGAGAACCAGGTTATGACAAAGCACCTGGATGACATATCCAGACAGCCTTGATCAGTGGTTGTGCAGAAATCCTACTCTGGAATTTCTACCTTTGATTCTGTTTCTGCCATCTGAAGCCATATGCCAAAACATCATTTCTTTATTCAAATAAAAAGAGAAAGCCCCTCAATTATTGAAGATTGTTATTCTGACACAACCTACCCCCATCAGTTTTCTCTTTTTCAGGGGAAAAAATCATCTTTGGGTGAC